GGGTGGGTGCCTCGGGGCGCTGATGTGTCCGGCTCCCTTCGCAGGTTGCTCGGGTACTTCAGAGCGAGCGGGAGGCTGAGCCGGCAGCATCCCAGGCGTTTCCAGCGACCGCCCGGCACCGACTGAAATTTAGGCGGCTTCAGAGAGGGGAGGAAGATCCTCATCTTCCGTAGCCTCCTCAATGAGTGCCAAGCTCTCCAAGGAGTTGAGGCTGTCCCTGCCACCTTGTCTTCTGAACAGGACATCTGCCACCTTAAACACCAGCAGCACCTGCATCACGCAAGTGGGTCAGCTCTTCCAGTCCTTCTCATCCACCCTGGTTTTAATTGTCCTGGTCACCCTCATCTTCTGCCTGATCCTCCTCTCCCTCACCACCTTCCACATCCACAAGAGGAGGATGAAGAAGCGGAAAATGCAAAAGGCTCAGGAGGAGTATGAACGGGACCACTGTGCCCGCAGCAGCAATAGCAGCAGCCAGCACCATGGGACGGTGGTGCAGGGAGAGGCATCCCAAGGAAGAGACAGCCGACTGGGAAGACCCCCCCAGGACTCAGAGATCCAGCGCCCCTCTCCCTCGGCAGCCCCCAGCTCTCAGCAAGCACAAGCTTGTTTGGACACAGCCGGTGCGGGGCTCCTGCAGACCGTGATTTTGTCATGATGGTTTGGGGGAGACCTGGCGAAGGTGCTCAATGGTGTTTGTAAATACCTGAGTGATTATTCTAGTCCCTGAAGAAGAAGAAAACATTGCTAATTCCAACGAACGAACAAGCCCATGATCCAAGCGCATGACAGATCACATTGCGTTTCCCATTGACTGTGCAAGGAAAGGATGCATCTTTGTACTGGAGAAGGAGCTGCACACAGCTACTAAATATCAAGTCATCCACCTGCAGGAGAGGGTCAGGAGTAGGGGGTCCTTTTTCCCTGGACATTATTACCCGGAGGACTGGGACGATCCCTTTCTTGGGATTCCCACTGCACCCTGTGTCACCGTTGCACGGTGTGGGTTGGGGCATGGGTGAGTGGTGTGGGGGGAGAGGCAGGTCTAGTGGGTGCCTTGGGACCCTCCTGTCCCCTTGGACCAGAGTGGCAGTCCACCCTGGTCTCCCTTTTTGTGCTGGGATCTATGCCCCTGTTCCACCCCTTTCACTCCTTTCCACGGATACTGTTTTCTGTAGAAATGGCCACCCCTAGTTGGACTTCACTGCAAGCACCCTCTGGCCCCACATCTCCATGCCCCCAGCTGCAGCACTGAGCGATCCACTCTGGGGGATGGAGCCAGCTGTCTGCATAGAGCTATGACTGAGCTTTCCTCCCCCTTTAGCTCTCTTCATCTTCAAATGCCCCCCTTCCTGCATCCTTATCCCCATGCCATGAAACCTGAAACTCAAACCCAGTACCATTCTGTGTGGAAGGGAGAGGTAATGATGAGCAGTAACTTGCCTGTCCCCTCCCAAGGGACATTGTCTTTTTACCTCCTGTTGGTCCTGAAACGATCCACTTCTGCACCAGGCACCCTGCGCCGAATGCCTGCGTTTGCAGCTTTGCCTCCCAGGAAGGAATCCTGCAGCAGTACAGATCTTGCTTCTACTTTTTTAGGCTGATATGTATTTTTAACCCTCCTTATCTTGTAGACAATTAGGGACAGACCACTTAATTTTCTCCCATTTCCTCCCTGAGAGAACTAACTATGCTGTTGTGAAAAATGTCCACTCCTAAACCCTGACAAATACTTATTTCAGATGTGGTTGGTGTAGTTTATCCCTAACAAGCACCGGGAGTTTTTTTGTCTCTGGGTGGTGGATGTGAGTGGCTGCTGGTACTGTGTGTGTGTTGCAGGAAGCAGTGTTGGGTACAGAAAATGCGGCTTTGCTTAGTGTTTAAATCGATGACCATTACTTGAAGGTGCCTTAACTGAGTGCTGTATCCAAACTTTGCAACATCTCCTGTGGTATTGTAGCAGAGGCAGCCCTCTACTGTGCATGCTAACATCTGAAAATTGCAGCAAGGAAAAAGTGATCCCAAGGGATTTATTCTTTTTTTTTTTCTTCTCTTTCTGTCCCGGATTTCAAAGTGACTTGAGGAGATAGTAATAGTCCACAGTTTTTAATATTCTGTATCCTTTGCATTTCTTCTCTGTTGTGCTGTGTTTCCCAGGGTGGCTGTTAGACTAGAAAAATCCCAGGCACATGGACAAGGAGGTTTGGGGCCCTAAGCTGTGAGTGAATGCCATTAACCAATTTAAAATGGGGAAAAAAGGTGGCAGAAGTGCTCCATAACCCTCTTATAACCCCAAAATGCAGAGGTTTCAGGGGTGTGTTTCTGTTACCCAGTTTTATCCCTTTCCAATCTTTCCTGGCCTGATGGGAAATAGCTGTTGAGTTTGGATCCATGCCTCCAGCATTTTAGGCAAGCACTGTGTCAACCAGCTCAAGGAGCTGCTCCACCTGCTGAGCTTCGTGTGGTGAGCATACCATACGTGTGAGCGAGTGGTGTGTGCACATTGCCGTTTGATGGGAGAGATTCTTGCCCCCAGTCGGTATGGTCGGCTGCTAATGGCTACTTTGTTGTTGCTGGGCAAGGAAATTGGCTTTGCTTTTGTTTCCACTAATAAAGGATGCATGAACTTTTGTGTTTAACCTCCTTATGCAACTGCGGCACAGTATTGCACCACAGGGAGTAGATTTAGACAATGAAGAGTGTTCAGTGAACAGTAATTGGAGCTTCCTGACCGTTGATCTCCACTAAATAGAGAGATATTACTTTCCCCTTTATTTTGTGCCTTTAAACCCCTCCCCCCCTCCACCCCAAACCAACAGTGTATAATTTCAAGTTTTATAAAAGCAATAAGATGTTCCAAATCACTCCAGTGCATTTCTGGTTGATGATTCCACTTCTTTAGTGTCTGAAGTCAGATACTCTTCCTTCTGCCTTATGCACTCAAGGCATGCAATAATTTCCCAGAAGTGTACTGCTTGTCACATCTCATTGCAGTTATAAAATTGCCCTATTTTTGAAGAAAAAAGAGAAGGCTGGAAAGATATATATATCTTTATATATATATTATGGATATACAGGTATATGTATTGTTTATATAATCTCATGACACTAAAAGTAGTTGCAGAAGTGTGGCTAGAGTTAAAATGTTATCATGTAAAACTCTATCCTCTGTTAATTAGCCTTGATTTAATATTTTAATATCTCTGTATTTATGTAAATCTGTGTAAATTATATGGTCTATTAGTAAAATTTCATACTGACTTTAATTTTCGCAGAACTGTGAGCTTCTTGTGGTGTCATTTAAGGTTTTTTATTTCTGAAGTTAAATTAGACAGGATATGAGAAGTTATAAATTCCTGTGATCACGCAGAATTGCTGCAATAAGGTTCATTCGTACTCCCAATACACAGTCCCATCTTGTGGTATTGCAGGCTTACGAGGTTTAATTGAATGGTCTCAGGAGATCTAGCTGATACAAACAGGACACGTAGGTTTTCATTTTCATGAAACAATAAGCAATCTAGGGAATAGATGTGGATTTTTAAAACAGAGTTTATGCTTGGAGGTTCTGTCAAATCAATTGCTTCAAAACCCTACAGCTACAGCTAAACTTCTGCACTTAGCATTCAGTATTAATAAGGCTGATGCTTCTTTCCCCTCCCCCTCCTACTTAAACTAGAAAAGAGTAGAAAATTGTTCATATTTCTAAAGCATACATTTTCAGCTAACTGTGAAACTGCCCAAAGGGGTTTGAATATACATATTTTATGCAAGTGTAGTATCTATGTATCTGTATCCATATATTTAAATATTTTTGTGTAACCTTTTCTATGATATTTGATAGAGATGCTGGGTAAATGCTTGTACCATTCTCATACATGAGGAAGGATTTATACCCTCTCGATGCAGACGTTCTTTTTCCTGTGAATTTGCACTGGTTTCGGCAAGTGATGGTGATGAATGGGCAGCCAAGTGCTGGCTGCTGGAAGCACAGACAGTCTTTCCTCTGTTAAGGGGCACATCTTCCGGCTGGATTTTCCTGGTTCTGAATTGGAGCCGGTTGCCCACTAGCATCCTGCATGTGTAAGAATAAGAAGTGCTGTGGTGTGCAACAGTTCCTGCCTGGTCCAGCTGTCATCCCGTGGAAGAATCATGACAGCAGTGACTTGTTTTATACAGCCTTTTGAGAACAGAGCTGACAGGCAATGTGGTGGCCATGCTGGAACCGAATCAGTGAGTTGGTGATGCCTTGTCCTGCACTCCTGCCCTTGGAGCCTTCTGCTTCCATGGGGATTCATTCAGCTCCCACTGGCATCAACAGGAATGGCTTGCACTGACTGCCAAGGGACTGGGATCTCACCTTCACATCACCACCACTGACCCTGCTTTCGACCTGTCCTGGCAGCCTGCATGGGGATGGAAACCACTTCATCTCACGAGGGCTAGGGTGTTCCAGCCTTGTGGAACTGGGGAACCTGCGCTGCTACTGTCAGCTCCACTTCTATAGACTGAGGCATTTAGGTTTCTATGTGGATCCTATGTGGATCATGGACAGGGAATGTCATTTCATTAAAATGTATAATTCTAGAATTTTTTTCAGTGGGGGTGTGTCTACTGCAAATGTAGTTTCAGATGAAATTTGTGGGCTCTCCGTCCAGACGTTTGAATTTTTGATACATCTCTCTCGGATGTATATCTATGAATTTATAGACAGAAATCTCAAAAGAAATGCTGGACAAAAAACAAAGAACAGAGACTCCACGTTATAGATATAATTGTTCTATGACAAAAAAATGTTTTTTTTTCTTTTATTGAAAATTAATTTTAGAGGCTACATCTTTAATGTAAATAGCAAGTTACTCTGTGATTAATGTTTTCCATAGCATTTCTGAGTAATTGCTATCTTGTTTCTAGAAAGCTGTGTCCGGTGTTATGAAGCAACTGTGCTTTTCTTCTTCTGTTGTTATGAATATGAGTGCAATTTTTATGTAGGGAGGAAAAAGAACATGATTTGACTCTTTAGATAGGACTGATTTATTTCAAATCCAGTTTTAGGACTTGGTTACATTTTTTCTTTCTAGTGGTTATTCTCCCTGCACGTTCGTATTTTTTCTATGGGTACTTGAAACTCCACATTTTAATAAGTATGCAAGATATGAAGGGAAACATGAGAAATTATGTAGGAAACATTCTTTTTTTCTCTTTTGTGTAAATAGCGAAATTTATAATGACTTAGATACCATCTCATTACATTTCTCATCTATATAGAAATTGGCATGACTCATATGCAGACCTTTAATAGCACTTTCATTTAGGTTAAAAATCAGAACTACTTTTATCCAGGACTGACTTTCTTATCTCTTTCTGGTATCTAGCATTTTTTTCCCTGGAGCCAAGTTTTCCATCTGATAGCTAAATACATTTCTAGTAGAACAGAGCCTCCTTCTGTTTTTAGTCTTTTGAACATAGGTCTCTGGTCTGAATCCAGCTAAACTCAATAGTGTAGAAAATGTGTTATAAACTTGCAAGAACTGAATGGTGTATGAGCCTTGAGGAGAGAGGTGACTGTCTGACAAGCAAACAGGTGAAATGCCTGGCAATGGTAATAGTTAGCTTTCTTATTTGGAGTTGTGGAAGTGAAGCCTCCCCATCCTCTGG